CTGTTGAGGATGAAGAGAAACATTTGGAAATGGACAGTGGCCCAGCCTGGTGATTGTAATTCATGTCACTGACCTGTACACTTAAAAATGGTTAAAAGGGCAAATGTTTCATTATATATTTTTTATTTTTTAAAATAGCCATTTAAAATGAACAAGAAAAGGTTGACCATGCCAATAAAACATGCAAAGAGCACAAAGAGGCAATTCACACACACACACAGAAAACAATAATCAAGAAAAGAAATGTTGACTTCACTAATAAATGAATGCAAATTAAAACTCAGTGCAGCACGATTTTTCACCTAATAGAGCTGTGAAAATGAAAAGGTTTGATACTCTCTAGCTAGGTTATAAGAAAGTATTTCATACCTGAGTGAGAGGAAAAAAATGCTAGTATTTTTTCTGGAGGTCTGGGTTAGCAAACTGATTCATAACTCACATGTGCATTGTACTTGACAAAGAAATTTCTGCTCTTGGAATGATCTAAGAAGATTATCTCACAGACACACAAACATGTAAATGATATTCATCACAGTATTGCTTATAATCGTGACAAATTGGAAACCACTTGAATGTCCAATCAGTATAAAGGATTGATTCAATAAATACTTTGAAACACTACACAGCCAATAATGTAGACAATGATAGAAATCTATATCATATTTGTTGTTTTTGTTGTTGTTATGTGCCATCGAGTCAGCCCTGACATATAGACACAGAAAAAAAAAAAATTCCAAGAAATTTTGTTAAGTTAATTGAAAATGGGATTTATTTGTTCATTTGACAGATAGGCGTTGAGTGTCTACATGTGTCAGGCTCTCTTCTGGACACTGGGGATACAGCAGTGAGCAAAATAGAAACTACTGCCTTCACGTAGCTGACATTCTAGTAGTGAAGGAAAGAGAATAAAAAGTAAAATAAACTACATAGTATGGAAAATAGTGTGTAGAGTATGATACCATTTTTCTAAATATGTATATCCAAAAATGTCTGAAAAGATTTTTGTTTGTAGTAGTTATCTGATGGTGGAGAATTTTATTTTCCACTTCATATTTTTTTCCTAAATCTTTTTGAATGAATGTTCCTTTTAAATTGGAAAAAAAAATCCATTTTGACAAAAATAAAATGACAAATTTATTTTAAAGTGTCTTTAAATATGTGTCACTTTCTTTCCTAGAACAAATTTGAAAGATCAAATTAAAAGATCACTGTCAAACAGGAGTTCCTGAAATTTTTTAGTTAAGAAAAAGATACTGAGCCTTCTTCAGGATGCTATGAAACACAGACACATTTGGTTATATTATTTTAAACTTTAATAAGGCAAATGCTGCCAAAGAAAATCAGAAGGCAAATGTTACACAGGGGTGGGGTGGGGTGGGGTGGGGGTGTTTGCAATACTTGTGATAGGCAAAAGGCTAATAATAGCACTGCTACAGCATACAAAGAACTCTTAAAACTCAAAAATATAAAGATGAACAACCCAATAGAAAAACAAAGACACAAGCCATTCTAGAGAAAGACAGAGAAATGATTAATAATGCCAAAACATGTTCATTCTTACTAAGTCATTTCACATTTAAATTTTAAAACGAAAAGGTATTGTGTTTTCCCATTTGGATTAGGAAAAGTTGGATAATTGCCAGTGTTCTACACTGTCCTTTTGGGCAGGAGACACAGAGGAGCAGAGTGTCTCAGTCAGGCACCTTCCTGCACTGAAGGAAGCAACTCAAGATGTGAACACCCATTTTTGTATTTTCCTTTTTAAAAAATATAGTATGTATTACTTTTACAATCAGCAAGAAGCTCCACAATTCTAAAGTGGTGAGTCCTCTTACATGAAAATTAGCTTGTTTCTAAATACCACAAACAAATGTAATGGATGAAACAATATATCGATACGACTCAGTGTCCGAAAGAAAGACGTGAAGAAGTCAGTGATCTCGCTGTTGGCAGGAGTCCACCTTCTGGAGGACAATTTGGCAGTTTCTCCATCAATATTTCAAATGCTCTTCTTTGATTTAGCAATTCCACTTTCAGAAACTTAACATATAAAAACACACATACACAAAAACATTTGTATAAAGTTTTACTAATTGCAACAATATTTATGTAAGTAAAAAATTGGAAAAGACCCAAGAGTCCAGCAGTAGGCTATTGGCTAAATAATTTATGGTGCATTCCTACTATGGAAAACTATGCTAGAGTTTAAAAGATTATAGGGCTGATTTGGAAAGAGATTCGAGATTATTAAGAGACTATGACAAATTGCAAACCAATCAAACTCAACTGCCGTCAAGTCAGATTTGACTCATAGCGACCCCTCCTTGGGTTTCCGACGTGGTATCTGTACAGAAATAGATTGCCCAGTCTTCCTTCCAAGTAATGACTGGTGGGTTTGAACCACTAGCCTTCTGGTTAGCACTCAAATGCCTTAGGCACTATGCCACCAGAGCTCCCATGGCAAATTGCAAGCAGTTGTAAAAGCAAATGTAATAGCATAATCCCACTTTAATAAAAGAATGAAATAATGTTAGAAAAAACTTGAGAAAGACTGAAAGAATAGACATCAGACTGTGGACAGTGGCCATCTGTGCCTCAGGTTTATATGGGATTACAGGGGACATTTGCAAAATACACATTTTTGTATTTTTTTAATTTTTTGCATTGACAATTTTAAATTTTTGAAATAAGGAAAAACATATTAAGTGTGGAAATTACTCCTACTGTAAAAGTTTGTACCTCTGGTACCTACTTAGATTTCCCATCTTCCCCATCTACTTTTTCCTGTCTGTCAAAGTTTGGGCACACTCCACCCTCCCTAAGCATTTCCTTCAGTTTATTCAGATGGCCTCCCTTTTGATGTCTGGGCCTTTAGGGCCCTAGATTACAATGAATTCCCTTTGATTATAGGTTCTTCATTGTTTATCAACTGATTATGCAAACCAAGGTATGAACATCCATGAAGGCAGGTGTCTTCATCTGTGCCCCAGCCATAGCACTGAGTAGAAGGGAACTGTGCCAACCTTGACACAGCGAGGGGAAATAAAGATCAAGGACCGGGGCCCTGACCCTGTCCCTGTCCCCTGTCCCTGCCCAGGGAGGGAGGTTATGACCAGTATCTGAAAGATGTAAAGAAAGCAGTGGCCTTGTACACTGATGCCGGACTGTACACTTCTGGGCAGTTTGCACTTTGTCCCTGCTGGACAGCTCACACCTCACTGGCAGCCTTCTATTCAGCATGGGCCCTAGGAAGGGAGACTTCTTTCCCACAGGTCCACAGTCCAAGTGAACTTAACAGGCTCCAGAAAGCTTCCCTTGGGACTAAGACTTTAGGCATAAGGCACTAAGCACTCAAGCCAGTGGTCAAAAGATAAGTGTCCCTAATGGCTACAATGTCCCTTCTCTATCAGGACCATCACAAGCCAGCACTGGGCAGACTTCCTACTCTGCCCTCTGGATTCTTTCAGCAGAGGGCACTTCTGATCCACACTTCCCCCTGCCTCATTTCTCAGGTAAAGGGGATGAGAGAGCTGCACCCAGCCATCCCACCAGGCCAGCCAAACTACCTAAAAGTACCTGCACATAGCAGGTATTCAATGCATGCTTATTCTGTTGAAGGATAGGGTACGCTGGGCACCTGGGCTGGGGAGTACTTGTAAAACACAGGTGGCTGAGCCCCTATTCCCTACATTTCTGATTCAATAGGTCTGGGTGGGGCCTGTTAATTTTCATTTCTAACAGGTTCCCAGATAGTGCAGCTGTCTGATGGGGAATATTATCCACCCTCTAGGAACCTCAGGATTTGAAAATAGGGCAGAGTCAGGGAGATGACCAGAGAGAGGTGCTGCTCTCCAGGGCACCCACACCAGAGCTTGAAGCAGAGCAAGACCAGCAGGATGAAAGGAAGGGCTAGTGCTGAGAGCCATTTCTGAGGGAAAAACCCTCAGGAACTGTGCCCAGATGGTTGTGGGAGAATGAAGGAGAGAAAGGAGCTTGAAGAACTGAGGGGATGGTAGCAGCATTCTCTGATGCAGAGAACCAAGAAAGTGCAGCCAGCGGCTTTGAGGGCAGGGGAGCGGGCTCAGTTCTAGACAGCCTGAGTTTGTGGGGCCAAGGGTCATGTGGGTGTGGATGTCCAACAGGCAATTGGTAGTTTTAGTCTGGATCAGACATGAGGCCCTGGGACTATGGGAGTGTGGAGTTGAAACTCATCACCACAGAGCTGGTAGCTGATACTGTGAGAGATGAAACAGCTACCCAGGAGAAGTATAAGAACTAAGAGAAGAGCAAGAGCCATGGGACTGTGGAAAATTCTACAGACTTGCAAGTCCTGCTAGTTGTGCCTCAGCCTTTGGTCTGTAATTTCAAATATTTTGGGACAGGTAGAGGAAATGCAGTAAGAAAGGAAAGAGGTAGAAGACAGTGAAGTTCCAGAAGAGAGTTAAGGTGACTTGGGAAGTTCCAGGTGACTTGGTCCTGGGGTCAGGAGCTTGTGCCAAGGGGCAGCAGGTGAGGAGGATACATGGGAGTTTTTTTTCCCCGAACCTGGAGGCATTTCCTTTAGATTTGGCCTTCTTGGCTTACACCAGACAAGACACAATTGCACCCACTTTGGTGACACTGCACTAGTGTCCCAGGCAGACCCAGGAGCAGCAGCAACAGGGCATGAGGAGGGAGGTGTGGAGGGAGGCGGCCCACTGCCATTCTTGGTATGGTTCTCTCTCCAGGAGCAGAACAGCATCTGGCCTCACTCTGGGCAGCTTATAAGGCCTGGTGTGAGTTTTGTTTATGCAAGTGCAGCATAAAAGGAACAAATCCTCCAGCACCGGGGCTGCTGCCACTGAGTCCTTTTGCATACATTTTTTAAATGATAATTCACTCTACTCCCCCTTCCCCACCCCCAAGGCCGATTTATTGAAAAAACCACCTTATATGGTAATATTGCTAACACACCGTCAGCTGGCCTTTTTAGGGACTCTGTTTAAAGAAGATCCGCCTCTGGGGTTTTATATTGCTCTGGTATTTATGCCAAAGACACACCAGCACTCAGTCACTGGGAGAAGGATCTCACACCCTTGGTGAGTACTATGGCCTCTGCTCCTTTCCCTTTCTGGGGCTGCCTGGCCTCTTGAGTGTGGAAGGTGCCTCCAGATTGGGCTGGCTTCTGTGACGCTGGCCCAGGTCACACGTTAAGGCCCTTGGTGGGCAGTAACGCCTCCAAGCATCCAGCTGCCTGCCAGGAGCAGGCATTTCTGGCCATAGAGCACCGTGGGCAGGGGCAGGTTAGAGGTGGGTAGCCTCTGCTTGCCCGGCTCACCTGGGCTGGTGTGGATCTCCACCTTGATTCTGAGGGTGTCCTTTTTCATGGGTCAGAATGTCTGGGAGACTGTTTTAGGCGAGCAGATGCTTTGCAGACAAACAACTTCTCCTCAGGGTCATTGACTTAAAGCCTACCATGGGACTGGTGGCCATGAGATATTGAGATGTTGATGTTGGGGACATTAATGTGTTTTCTTCAGCCCCCACGCTGAGTAGTACTTGGCTGAGGTGAATAGAGAATTTTCCCACTCCCTGAAGGTTCTAGGATCATTGAGCTATGGGAAAAGTCAGGGGTGGGCTGAGGGCAAGTGTCCTGTGGCATCAGGAGATTTTAAGGTTGGAAGAAACTTGCAGTTTGCTGCTGTTGAGTGACTCCCAATAATGGAAAGAAATACTGCTCGGTCCTGCGCCATCCCCATAATGGAGTGAGTGTTGTATGCATAGGGTTTTCACTGGCTGATTTTCAGAATTAGATTACCAGGCCTTTCTTTCTAGCCTTAAAATTCTGCCTCAGGCTCTGCTGTTCCACATCATAGCAACACACAGGCCTCCAAAGACAGACTGGTGATGCCTGCATTTGAGAGTGTCTTGGCTGGAATCGAACCTGGGTCTCTCACATGAAAGGTGAGAATTCTCCCACTGAACCACCACTGCCCTCATTAGGAGCCACCTGTCTCCTCTCACAACACGGAGGCCTAGAGAACACAAGAATACAAGAAACTCTTCCAAAGACTCACACTCAACTGTGAACAACCCCCCCCCATGCCATTATCCCCCAACACACACACATGCACACATGAACAAATAATTAAGAGGAAGATGAGACCAACGGGCTGGCTCCACTTTTCTGATCGGTCCCCTAGCATCTCTTTACTACTGGGGCAGGTTGGTGTAGTGCTGCAGTCCTTAGAGGCAGCCTGCCCGGCTATCAAAGTTATGGAGTAACTTGGGTAAGTGGGGAATTACTCTGCCTCCAATTTCCTCACTTGTAAAATGGGGGTAATAGTAATAGGATCTACTTGGTAGTGCTATTATGAGGATTAAATGAGCCAATACGTGTAAAACGTTCAACTCAATGCTGTCATGGTCTGGCTGAGTCTTTGAACTCTAAGAATCACCTGGAAGCCTTGTTAAAGCACAAATTGTCCTACACTCCTGCCAGATTCTGACTCAATCAGCTGGGGTGGGGCCTGGTCATTTGCATACCCCAAAGCTCCCAGGTGTGGCTGGGACTGCTGGTCCAGGACCACACTTTGCACAGGGAGTGTCTAAGCTCTTGCCTTTGTTATGTGCATGTGGATTTGGTTTTTGAGGCTAGCTCTTGGGCTGACAAGAGGCAGAGCTTCCTGTTGTCAGGATGGGTGAATGCTGGAGAAATTGCAATGAACAGTGAAAGTCATAAGCCAGGCCTGGGAAACCAAGATAGGCAGTATTTTCTTCCTTCCCTTTGCTCACTCTGCCAAAATTTATTGAGCACTTAGGACATGCCAAGGGGCCCTGGTGGTGCAAAAGTTAAGCACTGGGCTGTTAACCAGAGGGTCAGCAATTTGAACCCACCAGCTCTGGTGGCATAGTGCCTAAGGCACTTGACTGCTAACCAGAAGGCTGGCGGTTCAAACCCACCAGCCACTCCTCATAAGGAAGATTGGGCAGTCTACTTCTGTAGTGATCATGCCTTGGAAACCCAAGGAGGGGTCACTATGAGTCTGGTCCAACTCATGCCTTGGAAACCCAAGGAGGGGTCACTACTAGTCAGATCCAACTCCACGGCGGTGAGGTGGTTTTTTTTTTTTTTTTTTTAATCACCCTACTGGAGAAAGTTGTGGCAGTCTGCTTCTGTAAAGATTTCAAACCAAAAAACTAAACTCACTGCCATCAAGGTGATTCCAGCTCATAGCCACTCTCATTGGGTTTCCAAGGCTATATAAATCTTTACAGAAGCAGACTACCTCATCTTTCCTCCACAGAGTGGCTGGTAGGTTCAAACCACCAACCTTTTGGTAGGCAGCCAGATGCCTTAACAACTACACCACCAGAGCTCATCTTCATAAAGATTATAGCCTTGGAAACGCTTTGGGGGTAGGTCTACTTTATCCTCTAAGGCTCATTGTGAGTTGGGTTGACTCAATGGCATTAAGTCTGGGTTTTGGTTAATATATGCCAGGCTTACTGGACGGTCCAAACAATTTGTGTTCAACTATTAACCTAAAGGTTGATGGTTCAAACCCACCCAGTGGCTCCATGGAAGAAAGGCCTGTGATCTGCTTCCATAAAGATTACAGCCAAGAAAACTCTATGGGGCAGTTCAACTCTGTCACATGGGGTTGCTATGAGTTGGAATCAACTGAACAGCAATGGGTTTGGGGTGTTTTGTTTGTTTACTATGTGTCAGGCACTGTCCTTGCTCCTTAGACAGCATATAGGGGCTCTTGCAGTCACTGGGAAAGAAAGATAAGTAGATGAGAACCATGGAGTAGATAAATACATGAAAGGGATAAAATCTAGTAGAAGCCTTTGACCAGCTCAGGAGCTATCAGAGAATGCTTCCTGGAGGAAGTGGTTCCCTGAATCCTTGAAGTAGGGTTTTCCAAAGCAAAGAGGAAGCATGACTCTTGGTGAGACTCTTCAAGTTGTTCAATTCCATTGAAGGTAGAGTGCAAAGCAAGCAGCAGGGACAGCTAAAGTCAGAGGACTGAGCAGGACCAGATTAAAAAGAACTTAAACACTAAAGGAATTGACAACTCTTCCAGCCCAGAGAGTGATGCAACTGTGAGGAGAGTGAACAGGAAAAGAGCAAAAGGGTCTCATAGAGAGGTCCTGAGTTGATGGTGTGGGGTGGTGGCAGTGGTTAGAATTAAGATGGCCTGGTGATTGATTATGGAGCTCTGGCGGTGCAGTGATTAGAGCATTTGGCTGCTAACCAAAAGGTTGGCAGTTAGAACATACCAGCCATTTCATGAGAGAAAGATGAGGCACTCCACTTCCATAAACATCTGAGGGAGTTCTATTCTGTCCTATAGGTTCACCATGAGTCAGAATTGACTCGATGGATTTTTGGTTTGGAGATTGGTTGGTGTCCCTGAGTGGCATAAATGGTTCCAAACCAAACCAAACTCACTGCCATGGAGTCGATTCCAATTCATAGTGACCCCCTTTGGGTCTCCAAGACAGTAAATCTTTACAGATTGTCCAGTCTGCCTTCCACAGAGCAACTAGTGGGTTTGAACCACCAACCTCATGGTTAACAGATGCCTTAGGCACTATAACACCAGTGCTAATGCATAAATGATTAGCACTAGACTGTTACCTGAAAGGTTGGAGGTTTGAATCTACCTCGAGGCACTTCAGCCAAGGCCCTGGCCATCTACTTCTGAAAAACCAGCCATTGAAAACCCTACGGAGCACAGTCCCACTCTGACACATTTGGGGTTGCCAGGAGTCAGAATAGACTTAATAGCAGCTTGTTTGTTTGGTGCTTAGTTGAGAGGGAGGGGCAAAGGAAGAGCCAGTGTGTGGGACAGGGCCTCCAGGGTGGCTGGTGGTATGATTCTCTGAAGGGCCAGTGCCAGTTAGAGGCCAGTGCCAAAGAGGAGTTTAGAGGTGCAGAGTTGAGATGCCCTGAGGCATGGAGTAAAGATGCCCAGTGGGCAGTTGGCTGTAGGTATCTGGAGCCCTGGAGAGGGGTCTGATCTGGCATTAGCCATGGAACTAAATGAGATGCCATCAGCATACCAGCCAAAGGAATAGGCACAAGCTACCTGAGGATCACAAATATTACTAACCAGGAGTCATATTTACTTTAGTCAATGTATATGAACCAAAGGAGCTCTGGTAGCGTAATGCCTCAGGCATTTGACTACTAACCAGAAGGCTGGCAGTTCAAACCCACCAGCTACTCCTCTGAAGGAAGATTGGGCAATCTACTTCCATAGGGATATTGCCTCGGAAACCCAAGGAGGGGTCTGTATGAGTCAGATCCAACTTGACGGCAGTGAGTTTAGTTTTTTGGTTTTATATGAACCAAAAGAAGTTACTCTTAAATTTAATTAGAGGCGCTACTAGAAATTTCAACTGTGACAGTGTTTTTTGTGAGATTACTTCTCTCTGACAGGCTTTCTTGTACGCACGTGTGTTTGTGTGTGTGTGTGTGTGTCTATGTGCTAATAGACAAGATAGGTAGCTGCCCACGTGTCTTTTGAAGCTCCCATCCAGAAATATTTTGCCAACAATTGTTTGAATTCCCACAATCTGAGAGACCTTCCTTTTAGGGTTAAAACTTTTCCCTAAAATAAAATGTCCTTGGAAACTGTCAAAAATTCAACCTTCATAGCCAATTGATTTGTGACATGGATCATTCAATCCATTTCCATATGACAGACTCCATCCGGAGAACAAATTTTGGTGAGGAAGAGTAAGAGAGTTAGGAATTATTATTTGTGCAGCTCTTACAGCAGACTCTGGCAAACTTTTTTTTATAAAGGACCATATAGTAAATACTGTAGGCTTTGAATAGTCTCTGCAACTATTCAACTCTGCTCCAGAAGTAAAGCCATCAACCAGTGAACCAGTGAACCAGGTGTCACAGGGTCTATCCAACTCCTTGGGACCCCCTGTGTGTCAGAGGAGAACTGCACTCCATGGAGTTTCCAATGACTGGTTTTTCTAAAGTACATTGGCAGGGCTTTCTTCCGTGGCCCCTCTGGGTGGACTCAAATCCCCAACCTTTCTTTCAATTAGCAGCTGAGTGCACTAACTGTAC